TTCAGTGAACTAACCGACTGGCCCCGACCAATCCCGACTCCAAACACATATATGTACCTGCGCCTTGCAGCCCTTTGCCTGAGTCTCTTGGCGTGGCTGCTTCGTAGCAATAGACTTGTACTTCCCCGAGTGCGTACACACGAACGTCCCCGAATTCTGCTCCCACGAAGCTGGTATTTTAGCTGCTTTTGACTGAGACTTGTCTATCCTGGCATTGCGCTCTGCCTCGCTGGTATTAGAGCGCGCCCTGAATATCTACAAGACCGATAGCACCAAAATTAGTGAGACAGCAGGGTCAGACATCCATTCATTCAATCAAATTTCGAATACCAGAAATGTTTGTGCTTCATACGCAGCCATGTACTCGTCGAAGTTGTCAATGAATATCGTGACGGGCCTCTCTTGGTCTTCCGTCTTGAATGCTCGGGCTTCAGCCTCTAGGATCGCATACACTGCGCCCTGCATGTACCGGTTTGCTTCCGTACGTTTTGGCTGAGTACAATCTGGAGAAATGTGACCAGCCTCGTCACAATTTCTGCACGTAGCTGTCTTCTTCCAAACATCGTTCTTGCCCTTTTTCTTTTCGTAACGCTTGTTGTTCTGCCGTTTCGATTTAGGCGGATGATGCCCCGAGTCCGACGACCCTTTTGAAGGCTTCGAAGGTGCTCAAGGCGGTTTCCCGGAGTAGTGCGCAAACTCGAAGTTCGAAGCAATTTCAATGGCTTCTTGTAGCGTTGATGGACTCTCTTCTTTGATCTTCTTTGCTGTTTCTTCACGTAACCCGTTTTGAAAGAAGAATCGTTTCTCCAACTCACTGATCGTCAATTCTGTCTGCGATAGCAAGTCTTGAAACTTGGAGACATACTCGTGAATAGTCTCGGTCTGTTTGAGACGAAACATTCTCTCGCGAAGATCATACTCGACGTCCTTTGGTCGAAAGCGCGTGCGCAGCTGTTGCTTAAACAACGACCACGTGGGGTTCACACTCGCTCTCTCACATTCGGCTATAAAAGCGCGATACCAGTGCAACACTGACTTGCCTAAGCTGCTGGAGATTATCGTCACGAAACCTGACGATTCTGCCTCCATTAACTCACGTCTGCTTGCGTAGTACTGCTCGGTGGCAAAGATCCACAATTCAATGTCTTCACCATACGTTCCTTCATACATCGGAGGGTCCTTCTTCTTCTGCTCACCCCTAGCGGCAACGAGATATTCGAATCTCGCATTAGCTTGTTGCATTTGGGCTTGCATTTGCGCTTGCATCTGAGCTTGATACTGCTGTTGCTGCTGCGTAATGTATACGAGCAGCTGCTGCATGGACATGGTCTCAGGTCCAGCCGCATCCTGAGCAGCATCAGTAGCAGGGGAGGCTGACTCAGCCTGTGCGTTGGCTCTGGCCCCTTCTCTTGACGCTTGCGATCTTGTATTTGTTCGCATCGTGGGTTGGGTAGCTTCAGCGTCGCTCGGAGCACTAACACGGCTCTGTTGACGAGGACGAGGGTTCGGTGACGGGCGCTCAGCTTCACGACTCCTTCTTTGAGCCATTACAAGCTGGACTTCTCAGCGCAAGTCTTTTAAGATACCAGAACCCTATACCGAAGTTAAACGAAGCGAAAAAAGGTTCCGATATATAAAGTTCCTCCCTACAATCTACGTTTCTTGTCTACGTGGATGGAGTGATCAAAAGATCCTTCAAGAATTTCTTGGGTTTGCTCAATACGTTTCTTGAGCAATTCACTGAAGTCGTGAATGACATTCCGGGCGGCTGCATCCTTAGAATCCGGAATTTCGTTTCGGATCAGGCGGACGAGCTTAAGTTGCTTGACCGTTGTTAGCCACAAGTCCAGACGAAGCTGATCGAGCTGCTTGTGTCGATCAGTCAAGGACTTTGTGCTGTTTACAAACGGATCTTCGGGTTGACGAGTCTTTCGCTTACCCATAAACAAGCACACTGAAACAGATGCAGTAGCAACGGATGTAGATCAAGCACAACCAGTGAGTATCTAATCGGACGTTCGCTCCTTTAAGCTCTGATGCGGGATAAGGATCCACTTAACGTGAAAGCGATAGACCCAAGACCACCAGAAAGAGTTTCCGATTGTGTGTACCACACTAGTGCGCAACCACACCAACTAGCCACTGAACGTAACAGTTCGTGCTAAGGCAATACCCTTTGTGATCTAGTGCTTCCCAAACTATGTGGCTGGCACCAATAACCTCAGGACAACTCGCTTCTGGCTATGCCACCACGAGTGCCCTACTTGAATCGAAGCATGACACGACAAGTGCTACTATGTCACGAAAGTAGCGAGGAAGCGTAGGAGCGTAGACGGCGAGTACGGCGCCGTAGACAGTTGAAGGGGAGGAGAGGAGTTGCTGCTCGAAAGCAAATTGAGAAGTGATTAATCAGTTAGAGTTGGCGGCTGCAAGCTAGTAGCTGCCGCACAACCAGTAGTTCTTGACAACCGGATATTCACGCACGTATCCAGGTCCATCCTAAAACCTATCTTTCTCAAATCCTGATTTTCTCTGTAACTACCAATGAAAGCCTATGAATCCTAATTCTTTTCTTGGTCGGAAATTTCGCACAGCGTCCCATAATCACAATTTCCGGCTGGAAGCTTGATTGTTGCAAATCCATGCGATTTTTGCCCAATATGTTTGTAGTATGATG